AATAACTTGCGAAATATCAAGCCTGGAAGATAAAATAATAAAAATAACATATTTATAATTATGTGTACAACTTATGTCACGTTTTGATTGCTACTTGATTTGGAATTTGTATTTTAATATTTTTGGTTTTGACAACACTCAAGGAGTCTTCGTCTATTTACAATGCAATGTTTTATTTTTCATATTTGTGTACAAAACTTATCATAATATTTAGCCTAGTCATGACATACAAACTTAATAAAGTCAGACTTAAAAGTTAAATGCAAATTTACTCCTCTTCGTATAGTGTTACTATGACTACAGCTTCAACTGTAGTAGCCATTGGAATGATGCCCTTCACTCTTTGGGTCTATGGTCACGCACTGGACACCAAAGACATTATCATTCCTTACACAAATATGACCCTGACTTTGTTAGTTGTTACAGTTCCGGTATGTGTGGGAATACTTGTACATTGGAAACTCCCTCGTGTGGCAAGAGTTGCAACTAAGGTAATGTATATGTAAGAATTTTAATTATAGTTGTTACTGAATACGAACAATATGGAATGAAATAAATAAATCAGTTCGTCTATTTATGTGTAAATTTCACGTTTTCCAGAAATAAATTTTCGGTCCTACTGTCATATTGATTTTTGAAAAAGAAGAAATACTTTTTTGTGTGTCGCTTGTTTACCTCTTTTCTACATTGCTTAAGATTAACTTATTTATTTATTCCGATTGTTTTTTTACCTCTTGTGGCATATAGGCTAAAATAACAACGTAACAACTGGTTTTGGGGAGTAACCAATACGAATAAAAGCTATTGCACAGTCTATACTTGCTACTAGCTTAATTAATACAACTTTCAAATGGAGTCAGCAACAAAAAAGAACATAACTACGAGATGTCGCCACGGATTGTTAATTATTCAAACAAACTGTTATTTAATAAGCATCAAAAAGTTCTTAGAGCATAGTTAATCAAAACCTATTAGTTTGTCAAAGTTATGACATTAAAACATAGACTTTGGCCAAACTTATGTTATTAAAGTATATTCATCACATTGTGAAACTACAACAGGATAATTATTGTACCGTTGAACTCTCAAGTGCCATATTTGTCTATATTACATGAAATGTCAGAAACTCTTAGTTATAGAAACTAAATACTTCTACTTTTTGTTCAAAAGTTTCCATAATATTGCAATTTGGTTTTATATTTTAGTTAGAGAAACTTTCTAAAATCAAAATAACACCCGATGAAGATCCACATCTTCTATCGATCGAAACGTTATATAATCACTAATTTACCACGCAAGTTCCTTTTTCAGTTGAACACTGTCTTCTAAATGTGTCTTCAAACAGTTACGATATTTGCGTACAATTTCTTTGGGAGTGGTAATTAAATTCTGGGATAAGACAAACTTTATTTATTATTATTATCATCATCAGAAAATCCAGGAATAAGAAATAGGTACAGTACAAGATTAGCTCTCTCTCTCTTTTTTATGGTTGTAGTTCAAGAAGTAAGCATTAATTAAATGTGGAAATTCTAACAGACACCAGTACATATGTCTCCTTAAATTGATGAAAGAACAGACAAACTCCTGATATTATTACTATGAAAATGTATACATCCAAGGTAGGAACATAAACTGATGATATTTTAATTTTCTTTATAAAGGTCGGAAGTTATTGTGGATTTGCTCTCATTGTGATTGTTGTGGGAATGCAATACTACATCTTTCCGAAGATGCTTGCAAAAGTACCTTGGCAACAGTGCGTTGCCTCTTTATTCTTGCCAATATTAGGTCTTGTCTTAGGCTTTAGTGGAGCAGCAGTATTCCGACAGACGGCGCCAGTGAGAAGAACCATCGCGCTTGAGGTTGGAATACAGAACACTGGTGCAGCATTAACTGTTTCAACGTTATCTTTTCCATTTGAAGTAAGTAGACGTTTGTCCTATTTATGTCATACACGCAGTCTAACTATGAGTGTATTGTATCTAAACTTTTCATCATAATTATGGCCACTCAAATTAAAATTAAATTATGACAAGAGGCCAAAATTGGCCATTTTAACATTAACTTTTTTCACTCGATTCAAATACAATTGTTTATTTTTGACTTTATCTCAAATAGGGTAAAACAGAGATAGACTTGTTTGTTTGTAATCAGGCACAAAGCTACATAATGAGAGCTATCTGTGCTCTGCCCACCACGGATATCGAAACCCGGTTTCTAGCGTTGTAAGTTCTTAGACATACAACTGTGTCATTGGTGTGGGGGAGCGGGGCGGAGATAGAATATGCATAAAATATTAAAAACAAACATACAACGTTGAATTGTTGTACAGTAAAATTAACTTTTTTTTTTCGGTGGCGTTCTATCAAAACATATGAAATAATTTTAGGACTATGCCTTGTTTTTAATAAAGCTAATTATATTGTGTAACAATTCAATGTTGTATGTTCGTTTTTAATATTTTGCCTGTACAAAAGCTCCGTTTAATTCATTCACATTTTCAAATTATCATTATATCATTAAACATTTGAATTTCAATTGCACTTAGATTACAGTTAAAATGACCAGTAAAGAGAGTTAAAGGATTGTTTTTACCAAACATTTTTGAGTTTGTCATATAATCAATAATTATTTTGTGTCGCTGTGTTTCACATGTAAGATAAATTTGACAACGTGATGACTATCACCATTGGGGACTTTGTTTGGCAACAGAATTAGGGCTGAAGAGTTATCAATTCAATTTATACCAAAATCAAGATTTTAAGTCTTACTATAACCAAGAAATTCTGAAATATGAAATATATAATTTGAATTTGCTATTAAAATCAACTCAGTATTAAACAAATAATTTGCTGTTTTTACTTACATAACAGACTTATTTATATACATATATATTTCTTGGGTAGGTTCAGGATCAAGTTCTTGTGTGTCCCGTTCTGTTTGGACTCGTCCAATTTGGTGCCTGCTGCTTAGCAAGTTTAACGTACAGGATCTACAAACGATGGTTCAAAGCTCAGATAGTTGAAGATGAAAATATAGAATCTTTAGGCCAAGTTAAAAACCATCAGGGTGTTATAAAACTTGAGCAATCTCACGATGAATCACATGCATAAACAAAGTATAGAGATTTTTATAATTCGTTCAATGCTACTTGGAACACTCTAGACCTTACCTTAAAAACATTTAATTTCAATCAAATAAAATATTTCTTGTTATCAAAGTTTCGGCTTACGTGTTCATCATGGTGATACGCAGTGCATTGAATCTCAAGAGAATCTGACGGGATTAACGAAGAAGAGGATTACAGAAGAAAGAAAATGTGTTGCAAGCGTATGCTTTAACAATAATGTATAAATATTCAGCCAGTAATAGCTTTCAATAAACGCATTATTTGTACAATATTAATGAAATAGGAATGGATATTTACAATATTTTACGGGAAACTTTTTATATAAGAACTTATCCTGTTTTCATAGATTCGAAGGAAATAAATAGATGTGCAAATAAATAACTCTGTGCAAAGTGTGACTGCTGTTTCTAGCCCTTATATCTTATTCAATGTTGATCTTCTTTGTCAAGGTTATCTTTGTGTGTATTCG